AGGGAAAATATCAGGAAGGATGTTCATAAGAAGTGAAAGGATATAGAGCAGCAGAAACACCAGGACCAGACGAGTTGTAACAATGACAAAGCATGTGAAACTGTACCAGCCCTGGCTGCAGAATCGGCACAGTCCCCAAGAGACCCGGTCACCCAAGTCCCTGTCCTATCTCCATTGTTCTTACTACATGCGGCCTTACTACAGTGTTCTTTTCCGTGGGCTCAGTGGAGGAAGGGGAGATTCTTCCTACTGCTAGGAGTGCCAAACTAACCCAAGGCTTACGAGACCTATCTTCCCAGCTTCCTGCAGAGTCCCCTAAAGGACAGGCGTGCGAGGATCTTACCTAGGGACAGAGGAAATGAAAGTCCTAGACTCCATTTTGCGTTAAAGTATACTGCTTTGCCTAATGAATCAATTCAGTTTCTTGGGGGTCGGCCTCCTAGGGAAAGTGCAGGGTGGAGAAAGGCAGAGAGCAGAAATGGAGAGGCAAATGGATAATAATTATCAGTCGAGACTTTGCTCATGCCGATCCTTCCTTCTTGCCCAAATCCCACCTACCTTTCATGTCACCTCATTCTCCAAACTTCCCCCAGCTGTTTTAACCTTATCAGCACTGACCTTCTTGGCTGTAATGATAGATTGTCTTGTGGACCCCAACTCTTCATCCTGCTCCAACTCCACACCCACTAAAGAAACAGAATACATTCCATCATCCTTTGACTTCGGGTTTGGCCATATAAACATCCTCTATGAATGGTCAAAGCCAATAGCATAAGATGGAGGTGACGGTGTGTCAGTTCCAAGACCTCTTTGCTACTCCCATTGCCATGAAAAGAGTAAACCCAGCCTAGCCCACTGTCCCCAAGAAGAGGACAAGAGACACGTGACACAAAGTTGTCTGGCCAAACTTTCTAGTTAAGCCCAGCAAAGATCAGCCAACTCTTAGATGCGTGAGCTAAATAAATATTTATTGTTGTATGCCCCTGAGATTTTATGGTTGTTGGATATACAGCTAATACAACTACCCGTAGTATTTATTGTATATTTCAGTACTTAGCAATTTGAATAGCATTTCATTATTTGGTCGTATATAATTGTTTCTTTGGGCAGGTTAAGATCAACAGATTTAGCGAATAAAAATACAGGGTCCCCAGTTACATTGAATTTTTGCATACATAATGAATAAATTTTTAGTGTGTGTCCCATGCAATTTTTAGAACACATTTATATTAAAAAATATTTATCTAAAATTCAAATTTAACTGGGCATCCTCCTCCTAGAGCCGAGGCAGGATCCACATCGACACAACAGCTGTGAGGTAGTTCCCATGGTCACCATCAAAATGCCGGAGAGGAAAGCCACACTACAGGCGGAGATTTCCAGGAAGATAGATCGCGAGCGCCTTCTTTTCTCCAGTGACGAGCCCCTCCCCCCCATAATAATGATGATGGTTATCATTTACAGCCCCTGTATAGGCAGGTAGTGGACGAATATATTCTCTTATGTTCACATCAGTACTGCAATGTAGGGAAGTAGCTAATCCTTATCCCCATTTACAAATGACTACACAGCTAGAGAGAGTCGCAAGGTAGAATTCAAATGCAGCCCTTTCCCTTTCTATAATGCAGCCCTGCCTCCAGCTACAGAAACTGACTGATGTCCTTTTCACAAAACTGAAGAGGACACAGTATTTTTCCCAGCTCCCAGTCTCTTTGCTGGCCCCCCACAATCCATTCTGTGGATAAAGGGCATTGTATTACTTTGCTCGGGCTGCCATAACTAAGTGCCACGGACGGAGTGGCTTAAACAACAGAAATTCATTTTCTCACCGTTCTGGAGGTTAGATGTCCACCCACCACCAAGGTGTCAGCAGGGTTGGTTCCTTCTGAAGGCTGAGGGAGGGATCTGTTCCAGGCCTGCAATGTCAGCCTGACCTGTGTCAACCTGACCAGGCCACGGGATGCCCAATTACCAGGTTAAACATTACTTCTCAGTGTGTCTGTGAGGGTGTTTCTGGAAGAGACTGGCATTAAGGCAAGTGCTAACTCAGGTGGGCTGAGTCAGGCAGATTGCCCTGCCCAGCGTGGATGGGCATCATCTAATCCTTGAAGGGCCTTCGCAGGACAAAAGGTGGAGGAGGGCTGCATTGGTTCTCTCTGCCTGACTGCTTGAGCTAAGGTATCTGTCTTCTCCTGGCCTTGGACTGGGACTTAGATCAGCACACTCCTGGGTATGAGGCCTTTGGGCTCAAACTAGAATTTATACCACTGGCTTTCCTGGGTCCCCCGCTTGCAGACAGCAGATTGTGCCACTTCTCAGCCTCCCAAAACAAATGAGCCAATGCCTTATAATAAATAATAAATCACATATATATGTAGACTTCTACCTCAATTCCCCACTGTTGTCTCTTGCAACTTTAGGATGTCATTCCTTTATATATCAGTGAGCCCTCTCCTTAACCCTCGGGTCCCGAGAACTCCATGTGAGTGCATTTCTAAAAAGATATATATGTATATACATAATCTCCTACTCATTCTGCTTCTCTGGAAAACCCTGACTCTTACAGGCCTCTTTCCTTGGTTCATAGATGGCCATCTTCTCCCTTATCTTCATGTCGTCTTCCTTCTGTGCATGTCTGTATCCAAAGGTCCTCTTCTTTAAGGACATCGGTCATATTGAACTAGGACCCACACTAACGACCTCATTTTAATTTAATCTCCTCTGTAAAGACTCTATCTCTAAATAAGGTCACATTCTAAGGTACCGGGGTTTAGGATTTCAATATGTGAATGGGGGGGCGGGGGAGCAGGACACAGTTTGGCCCCTAAAAGGGTGTGTGGAGCTAATTGTGATTCACCCAAATGCAGTCAGCATTTAAAAGAGAATCCCAAGGGAGTCGATTTCAAATGCATTCTGGATCTCAGCTGGCAAAATTCGAGTTTTCAAAGCAGACCTGCGGGGAGCAAAGGCCCACGCTGCAGTTCTTAATAACAGCACCTCAAGGGTGTCGCACCCTCTGCCGGAGGGGCCCTAGCAACTGACAGAATGTGGGTTATTATGAGGACAGGGGATTGTGATGGTGGCTGGTCTGTGGAATCTGGTGAGGCCAAATGCTAGTGCCTCAAAAGATGTCCTTAGGCCCCAATTGGCAGCATTGTTTTCTGAATGGCAACAGACGACAGGGAGGTGATGGAAGTCCAGGGGGCGGGAGAAAGCTGCCCGACCTTCCCCAAGATGGCGCCTGATGACCCCATGTCTGAAGGGAAGTTGAGGGCGGCTTTGGTAAGGGAACGCCTATCCCACTGCCCCAGCTCGTCCCCGCAGGGGAACAGAGAGTACTGTAGGGACACGTGATAGGAGCTGAGTGCTTTGAGGTCCCCGAGAGCTACTAAAGAAGAGCAGGTGACGTGCACCCCCTCCCCACCACTGGCAACCGGCTGTGACACGAAGCGAGGAAGGCTGCCATAAGACTGTGAAGTCACCCGGAGCTTTGGTCTTTCCCACCTACCTCCCCACTGGGGCCCTTTCCTCCCTCTGTGGACAGGGCCTGGCTCCCCCATACCCCTTTTTTGGTCCCCAAATATTTAGGTTCTCTCTACACAGACCCTGCCTGGGTTCTTCTCTCCTGCTGTAGCCCCCAGAGGCCTGGGCGTCTAACTCTTCTCAAAGTTAGGGAGAGTAGGGGAAAGTTACCTCCATGATTTAAAAATCACCAAGAACACAGCCTTCTACCTCAAGTCCCCACTGCTGCCTCTTACAACTTTAGGATGTTGTTCCTTTATGTCAGTGTGCCCTCTCTACCCTCAGGTCCCGGTAACTCCATGTAAGTGCATTTCGGAAAAGAACTCATTCTAGATCTTTGCAACTCAAACACTTTTTGGGCTGGGGCAGCCGGAGAGCCCTGGGCGGGAGGGGTGGGCAGCCCCATACTGACTCCTTACCATCCCTGGACTGCCCTCTTCCCAGCCCCAGGAGGCAGAGGCCCCTAAGCCAGACTCTTCCTACGACTACCTGGAGGAGCTGGAAACTTATGAGAACAGAGACGACCCAGGGCCACCTAAGTCGCTGTCCCCCAAAGCTGGCCCGACCACCAAGGGCCAGGCGGGGGATGGACCTGAACTTACGAAACTGCCTTGGGCCCTGGGGACCTCGGGGACTAAGTGCAACGTCGAGATGGAGCTGGAGAGGGTGCGCATGGAGTTCGAGCTCACACGGCTCCGGTACCTGCATGAGGAGAATGAGCGCCAGCGGCAGCACGAGGAAGTGATGGAGCAGCTGCAGCAGCAGGCGACGCCCCACCTGGTAGGTGACAGGGAGAGGGCGGGGGGACCTGGCCGAGAGGCCCGCAGGTCCAGCCCCAAGGGCCAGGGCTGACGCTGGGGGTCAGGGAGACCCCTGTCCCTGACCTGCGCCAGAGCCCATCCTGCCGGCTTCACTGCTGCATCTTGCCCCAGGTCCAGAGCTGGGCCGCTCACTGCTCTAGAGCTTCCGCGCCAAGCTGAGATTCAACTCTTTAGGGAGGGTGGACTCTAGGGCGGGGGCTCGAGAGCCACCTTGTTCACCCACCTGCCCAGGGCTTTTCTTCTCAGGGAAAAAGTCTTCAACATTTCCGCTTTCCATTCCTCTTGGCATCTCTTTCAAGAGAGATAATGCCTGGGACTAGACCCAGAACCCTCACTGCAGTCTGACCAGTGGATTTCGATAAAACTATCACCTTCCCTGATTAGGGCCACATCCACTCTGTTTGGATCACTCTGCTCTGTTGACAACTAAAACGTGGACATCTTTTGGCAAGAAATGGACCATTCTCCCCTAATCTGTACTAAATGGGGCTAAGAACACCTACTTGCAGTTAAATGGGATATGCCGTGCTTAGCTCTGTGACTGGGCCATCATAAGCACTAAATAACAAAAGATGTTATTGTTTAAATCAGTGTCATCTGGGCTTTAAAATCCGACAATTCTGGGTTGAAATCCTGGCTCTGCCACCTATAAACTGCATGACACTGGGCAAGTTACTAATCATCTTGGAGCCTCAGTTTGCTCATCCATAAGGTAGTATCTACCTCATAGGGTCATTGCGAGGATTAAATGAGAGAAGGCACATTAGGCACTTTGCAATGAGCCTGGCACATTAGGTAAGCACTCAATAAATGTTAGCTATTAACATTTTTATGTACTCATGCAATTCACTTCTTGACCCAAATACAACAACTAAAGTTCATCATTTTTCAATTTTATTGGAATGTAACGTATTAGCTCTGCTTCCCAGCTCTGAGTCATTCTCAATTCTGAGAAATTTGCCTTCTGCCTTTATCCAAGTCATTGCTATAACTGTTGAGAAGGATGTGACTTAAATAAGCATCACTAAAAGATCTCCCTACAGGTTAGCAGTTTTCCATTAATCATCATCCTTGTGCTACATTGTATCCAGCTCACATTTCTCTACTTTGTCCAAAAAAATCTATGCTGAGACACACTGTCTAATGGTTTCTCAGAATTAAGATAGTACACTACCTGTAGCATTTCCCCAATTAACAGATCAATTATTTTTTTAAAAAAAATAGGATTGGTTTTGCATGATTCGTTCTCAATGAACACACGCTGTCTTCTTAACAATTATCATTTTTTTCTTGCTCACAAAATACCTGCTTAATAATACACTTAACGATTTTGCTTAGCTAAGTCAAGCTTACTGAACTGGGATTTCTAGAATCTCTCTTTTCCCCCTCTTTTTAAAAATCTAGAAAATAATCACCTGTCTCTAAGGTTCTGGCAAGTTTCCTGATATTTTTGATGTCTCACAAATAAGTTCCATTTCAAAACTTGTGGTTTTATTTTTAGTATCCTTGGATAAAATCTGTTACAAGTTTGAGCCTGAAACTATGGAAAGCAGATATGGTGCAATACTATGGCTTTGGTTGATGTCTCCTCCTAACCATGTTTGTTTTCCATTTGTAGTTTGAAAAGCTTTTTCCTTACTGGGTGAGCTGGAAGCCCTCTCTGCTCCCTGTCTTCTACTCAAAAGATAGACCATTGAAAGTGCTTTTGAAAAGACTAAAAGCTTTCACGAATGCATGTTTTGTTACTGAAATCATAAATATCTTCCATAAGCATTTCAGACTGAAAACACATGCAGTTTGCAAAAGGTGGCCGGAAGTCCACAGATCTAGAGCCTACGGGGTCTCCAGAGAAGCATTACATCTGCCCAGCCCTCAACTCCCACTTGAACCCTAGGAATGAGAAATTCTTTTCCTCTGGTCTTCAACCTTCCTTGCTATGCATTCTAGAGGTGGCATCACTGGAGTCATTTTCTGCCAGCGTGTGTTCATTTGGTTGCCCCTCCCATTTTTATATATTTGTTTCAATAATGGTGTGTCCAAAATACCAGGCTCTGGTAATAGTTTACAAACATGTTTTATTTGGTGGGTATGTATTAAAAGGTGGAGAGTTGACTTGATTTTGAAGTTTCCTTTCCACTTTCTTTTTCTGGGTGGATGGGTGGGTAGTAAATTTCATTGTATTGAAAAATACATCTGTGAGTATGTTTCTAACTAGTTTAGGGAATCACAGTCCCTGCCATCTGCCTGCTTACAAAAAAAACAAAACAAAACTATGGCATGATTTTAAAAGATATTTTAAACAATAAACAATGAGTGGTGTCTTAAGTACAGATCAAAATATTGTATCAGCTATTGCCTTACTTCTATGTTGATGCTTTCTACAGTTAAAGGGGGCTCTGTCAAACTTCAGTTATATGGATTCTGGAAAAGAACAGTACACAGGCAGAATCAGACAGACAACTTAAGCTGCTTTCCCCCATGCCAGAGTCTCTGAGGTTTAGGAAGGCCCCACCACCTGTCTGTAGGGGAGACCAAACCCTAGGCTGAAGAACCATGAACTGACCCCATGTGACCCCATGGGCCAGGACCAAGAGAGTCAGTCATTTGTGTCCAAGGGGCACCCTCTTATTGTGCCACTGTCCAGAAGGCAAGGCTGGGTGTCAGGGCAAACTGTCCGGAGAACACTCAAAGACCCAGCCTCCAGATCTAGCATCTCAGTCAGAGAGACTTCCCACCTGTGTAAAGCAGGACGGGCTGGAGAGAGAGAGGAAGGTGTTGGCCTGAACCAGGAAGGATAAGAGTAGGCTCAAGAAGTAGAAGCTCATGACTGCCCTCTATGTGCCCGTGGCCTTGCTAGGAATTTCTCATTCCTCGTCTTACTCTCTCGCCTCATAGTCTTGTGAGGTGGGCACTATTCCCCTTCCCGTAGGTGAGGAAAGCAACCTGCCAGAGGTCACGTTCAGGAAAGAGCAAGACTGAAGCCCAGCTCTGCCTGACGCCCACGCCCTGGTTTTGCCAGTTCCACTCTCTTCTTTCCTCCGCAGTTCTCAGGAGGCCTCCAGGACCTCCTGCTCCCCCAGAACCAGTTTGCCATGTTCCTGTACTGCTTCATCTTTATACACATAATCTATGTCACCAAGGAGATAATCTTCTTTCTCTTCTCCAAGCACTACCTGTTCTGCATCGCAGGCATTTTGCTCTGTTTGATTAAAACTTTATGGTCATACTTCCAAGTGCCTTCGCTCTGTCCATCACTGGGAACCACTCCATTAGTGTATTGTTGAGACCTGACCCAAGTTAGCCCATGCCTCCCTGCCTTCTCCCTCCCTGGCACTCCTGCCCTCATACGGTGCCTCCTTCCAATCAGAACTTGCTATTAGGAAAGGCTCTGCTATCAGCCGTTTACACCTTAGTGTGCAGTAATGCATTTCATCCTTATACTGAGCCTTAGCTCTCACTGTGGATGAAGACGCTTTCTTTATCTGCTAAGAGGAGGACTTCAGAAGTTAGCAGGTTAGGGAGGTATCTTTAGGAAGAAGGGGTTTAGAAGGACTTTCCAGAACTACAGAAATCACACCATGACCAGACTGGCTTGGGATCCATCACATCTATTCACTTTCATAGATCTCTGAGCTGTGGGGAGCTGTGGTAGGCTTGGGGGTAGGCCCTCCAAAGACGTCCATATTCCAGTCCCCAAACCTGTGAATATGTTACCTTATGTGGCAAAGGAGACTTTGGGATGTGATTAAATTAAGGGTCTTGAAATAGAGAGATGATCCTGGATTATCCAGGAGGGCTCATTATAATCACAGGGGTCCTTATAAGAGGGAGACAGACAGGAAGGTGAGGATCAGAGAAGGAGATGTGACCATGGAAACAGAAGTTGGAGGGATGTGGGTACACGAGCCAAGGAAGGCAGGCAGCCTCTAGAAGCTAGAAAAGGCAAGAAAATGGATTCCCTCCTAGAGCCTCCAGGAGGAATGCAGCCCTGCCAATCCATTTTGGACTTCCAACCTCCAGAACTGTAAGAGAATAAATTTGAGTTGCTTTAAGCCACTAAATGTGTAGTCATGTGTTATAGCAGCGATACTAAGGCAAAAAATAATACAGGAGCCAAAACTCCTCGAGCTCTTTCCAGCTCTGCAAACATGTCAAGATAGCATCACCAGGCCACTGTCAAAGGTCCACTTAGCACTGGGCCTGAACAGGACTGGATACAGTCAGTCCCGTAGGCTGGGAGCCTGCTCTCAGGCCACATATCTTTCAAAAAGACAGACACTGAAGTTCCAGGGAGCCCAAGCCTTTCAGGGTCTGACAGCAAACGGTATCCCTATCACTGAGCAGTACATGCTTGGGTGACATGGGGTGGCAAAATCTAGATGTCCTCCTAGGGCCATTGGGAAGGAGGGATTGAATGCCTGATGGGAGCCGCAGCAAGTCAGCGGTAGTGGAAAAATGGGAAGAGACAAAAAACAGGCCACACGGACAAACCCTCAAATCACACACACACACACACACACACACACACACACACACACACACCCCAAATAAACAGTTGTCCACAACAGAGATGCACACAACCCACCTCCCCATTCCCCAAAAAACTAGCAACCACGACCTAAAGGAACAGACTTGGAACACTAGAGGGCTCAAGGGAGGCACAAAATGAAGCCACCTGGTGAGTGTGTAACAAACAGTTCAACTCCCCCCCAGGGCCAGCTCCCCAACCCCTGCTGTCCCACACACACCCCCGGCTGACAGCCAGCTGCACTTACCCACCAGCCCTGCCCGGGGATGATGGCTGGCAGTCTGGCTACAGCACAGGAAACTTTAAGGATAATGCAGCAAACCGAATGAGGCTGGGCATAGCTGTGCCATCAGTCAAGTCTTTTTGAACCCCTTCTCTTCCTAGGCAGAAGGCTCCGCCTTAAGAGGGACAGAGAGTAAGTTTCTGTTCTGTTGGGCTCTCCGAGTGATGCTTAGTGAAAACACACTACAAAAAGAAGACCGCCCCAGGATTCAATGTCAGTACACATTATACTGCCGTATAAGTCTACAGTGACTTCTCATTTTCCACTCAATTCGATGTATCCAACCCCATTCATGGCTCCGTGTGACAGGTTTTTACTTGAAAATAATAAAGCTGTCATTTTGCATTAAACTTTCAATGACAGAATTTTTTGCAGTGGGTCACTTCTCACAACCATCTTATTTGATCTGGGTTCCTGGAGTTGGATGGAGGCAAAAGGAGGAGGAGATCAAGATATTAAAAAAGTTAAAGCCCAGATGTTTACCTTGTTATAGCAGGTGGAATTAAGAGTTTGTAAAAACTACCAAGTGCTATAAAGTCATTTAGTCCATCGCCTGTTCCCAGGTAAAACTGGGCTTTAATATATCCATTTTCTTTACAAAGAGAAAAGGCTTAGTTAACTCACTTGAGCACTCAAGTTAGCACCTCATCTCACCCCCCGACCAATGGACATGAAATCTCCCCCCTCTGTGCCTCCTACTATGATTAATGACTAAAACCAGGAGCCTTAGATCTGCCCTTTGGGAAAATGAGAACGGCTCAGGGTCACTCCCCAAACTTGATACAGGTCTCCCAGTTCAAGTGCAAAACAGAAGAGAGAGAGAAAAAGGTGGAAAAAGACACAAAAGATAGAGGGAAAAGGCACAGCTGAGGGGTTACCAAGCAGGCAACGAGTCAACATGCAAGCGCTTCTTGAGAACCTCAGGTGTGCCAGGCACTTCACTGAACGCTTTATGGAGGCTATCTTCACCAAAACCCTGGGAGGTGGGAATGTGTACTATCCCTCATTCACGGATGAGGATCTCCGAGAGGTTCGGTGACATACTCAAGATCATCTTAGATCTCAAGTCTGACTCCCAAGCACATTATGTTCCTACATCATCACCATGCTCCCAAGATCTGACCCTGAAGGATCTCACAGCCTTTCTGAGGAGATGAGCCCAAGGCACATGGAAAACGTAAAGACCTCAATGGTGAAGGAGAGCGAAGAACGAGAGGTCCCTGGAGCCCAGGGAGAAAGAAAGTCTTCTCAAAAGAGCAGCCCACAAGAGCAGGTGAGCCTGGGGCAGGTAAAGAGGAGGGAGAACTCACGGGAACTGATAAGGATGGAAGTATAGCAGCTGTATTCAGGAGAAAGAGAAGGCTCATTCTTGCGCCAGTGAATGATGTAAAGGTAACAGGCCCAGAAAATTAATTTGGGGCCAAATTTTATAGTCCTGAATGTAGGTCTGAGGAATATGAATTTAATCCCTTAGGAAACAGGAATTCCCTGAAGATTGTAGAGTGATAGTGAACCCCTCAAAAAAGGAAGGACAAGGCCTCCTTTTCCCTCCCTCTCAGGGGACCATATTCTTGCCTTGACCTCTCCCCATTTCCAAATCAGGAACATTCTTTCTAAGGTCCTATGTGAAGATTGTATTCAGCTATAAAAGAAACCCAGCTATAGTGGCTTCTCCAAATAGAGGTTTGTGTTTCTCACATACTAAGAAGTCCCAAGTAAAACAGTCCATGACTGGAGAAACGACTGCAGGAAGTCACCGAGGACCCAGGCTGCTTTTTGCTCCACCATCCTTAGCACACAGCTTTTATCCTCCTCAGACCATGGCTTTCAGCCTCATGATTTCAAGATGGCAGCTGCAGTTCCAGGTGTCATGTCCATAACTCCAAGACAGAAGAAGTGGGAAAAAACGGGCCACCTTTTAAAAGCTTTTTAGAAAGACTTACCTAGCAACTTCTGCTTACATCTCATTGGCCAGTCTGGTCATGTGGCTGCTGCTGGCTACAGGGCATCTGAAGTGGTAACTTTTTGCCAGGACACTGTCACAGAACTGAACAAAATCAGGATTCTGATAGTATGAGGGAAGGGACGGGTGGATATTGAATAAGTGACTATGTCTGCCATACTCTGCTTTTTTTAGGCCCAGCTCCCACTCCCTTCTGGGCGCTGAGCCAGAGTTGTGGTGGGGGTTGAGACCATTGGGTGGAGCACAGCTGTAGCCAATCTGGGCCTGGCCCACTTCTGCCTCAAGGCCTCATTCACATACCACAGCAGGAAGGTCATGGTTTTCTCTGGACACACGACTGGAACAGCTCTGCCTTCCTCCTCCTGACCTCTGCCTGAAGCCCTATGACCTTTCACAACCAGGGCAGAAGCCTTGCCTGGGGACTTAGAGGCACGCCCCTCTGTGCTGGGCACCCTCAGCAAAGCTGCAAGAGGAGGCAAGTTTGCCCCTGGTGTTCCTCCCCTCTCCTGTGTCCCAGCTCCCGGAGAACAGAGCCCAGAACCCCTGACATCTCTCCTGTCAGCCCACTCACACTAGGCTGCTAAAGCCTGGGTGTGTAACAGATCATATGCATTACATTCAGCTTTTGCCCAATCAAACACTAATAGCAAAGTTTCAGGCTGGCTTAGGGAGAGAAAAGTGAAAGCATCTTTCCTGCTCCCCAAATGGAGTCACATAGGTTGCAACCCTGAGCCCAAGGACAAGACTAGAGTCCTGGAAACTGCTGAAATCTGCAGGACGGAAGAGGGAGCAGGCTTGATTCCAAACGTCACTTCCATGCCATGTCTGTTTCTAATTCCGCTTTAGCAGATGACCGACTACCAGCAGGTCCCTTAAGCCTTCTAGCCTTCATTTGGTGACCTGTAAGTTATCTGGACTCTACCTTAGTTTAAAAAAAAAAAAAATTTTTTTTAAAGGACCAAAGCCTAGGGTCTGCTTTTTAATTGATTTGCTATGGTGTTTAGGGGCCTTGGTAGCCTTAAAGGTGCCCCAGCAACCACATTAAGAAACCTAAATCCTTGCTCCTCAACATGTGGTCTGAGGACCAGCTGCAACCACATTGCCTGGGGCATCTTAGAAAGTCCAAGAAGCTTGCCTCTGTAGTTGAGCTGACACAATCCAACCTACGCTTTGTGGTGAAGACACTGCTCATGGCCTGGGAATGGGGTGCAGATGTAGAGGCACAATAGGAAGGGGAGAGAGCGGGTACCTGAGCGTGCAGCCCCTAGAAGTGCTGTGGGAGCCTCCATCAGCACAGGGCTCAGCCTAGGGTGGCGATATATCTACCCTCTTCCCTCTGTGCCCTTTCGAAGTCCTTGCTCTGAGCTTCTGAGAAACGAAATGACATCTCCCAGCATCTCCCTGGCACTCTAGGATTCACCAGAAACTTCCGGAATCCCTCCAGGCCCTGTCTTTGCCTCTGTCCCTTTTTTGATCTGGCTCTGACGTGTATAGCTTTGGGAAAATCTTGCTAATACACATTCATTCATTATTTAAAGGCTGCCACTGTTCCTTCAGGAAGGTTAAGCATTATTAAAAGATGGGATTTTTCCACAGGGCACAGCAGAAAAGCTAGGGCTCTCGCATTTTTAAGCTGTTTTGGCCAAGCCTTGTTGCATAATTTAAACCCTGTGACTTATTTAGACTTAATTAGACAAAGGAGCAGTAGCTACAGGTTCATTAGTCAGTATTTATTAAGCACCCAAGGGGGCGTGGTGGGTTCTTAAGAACAAAGTGGAGAATCAGCTTTGGGCTTACAAATTTCCTACACTTAAGGAAGAGGGGGTTATAGACGTGTCAGGAGGTAGGCATTTTTATTCCTCCAGGAGAATAAAGAAGTGGCATCAAAGGGCCTGGGGTCATGGAACAAATCCCCGCTAACACCTTCTTCTCAGCCATGACGGGGTGATGTTAGCCACCTCACAGTGCTATGCTGACAGGTGAGTATGATAATGGGCTGTAAGCTCATGGTAAATGCGGAGCTATACAAACGGCAGGTGTTAGTAAGAGCTGAGCAGGGAAGGTGTAGTGATTGCCCCCCGCCCCCCGATTTCAGAACCTGAGAGAAGTGGGAGGACCAGCTCCAGCATTTGTGGGACCCAGTGCAAAAGGACGATGCCTTGTTTAAAACGTATTAAGAATTTCAAGGGGGTAACAGCAGAGCCTGAAACCAGGTGTAGAGACTCCTGAGCACAGAGGTCCCCCAAGCTGGGGCCCGGTGCCACTGCTCTGGTGGTATACCCATGAGGCCAGCCCTGGAGGTAGATGAAGGATACCCTCTGGGGTGAGGGCCTTTTGTGGTGCCTCTCGAATCCTATCCTGAGAGACTATGTCCTTGGCCATCCCATCAGCCTGAGGGAGGAGAGCAGGTGCTGTGCATTTTGAAAGGGGGTGGGGACCACGGGAGCAGGCCTAGGGTAGGGGATACTGAGGCTGGTGGTCTGGAAAAAGGAAAGCCCCCATCCCAGAAAAAGTGATCTCCTAGTTTACCCACCAGCTCTGGAAGCAGCATCTGACTGATCAGGAGGCTCCCCTCTGCATGGAGGTCATGCCTCAGGCTTGCAGCTGCCAATCACTGAGCTAACAAGCCTCAAGCTCTACAAATCCTCCATGCCCCTCCCTCTATGGCCCCCTCTCCCTCCATTTCCCTTCCCTCTGACTTCTGCCCTTAGCCTCTTCAGCCAATCATTTTGCTCTGGGCAAGAAAATTCAAAAATAGGAGAACAAAGCTCAACTTTTACCCCCATGAGTCTCATTTGTATCAAATGACACAGTCCCTTTGCCTCAAACTTTTCATCAAAGGAGTCTTTGTAAGGTCCTGGGGCAGAAAGCAGGCCTTGGAAGGGAGCCACCAGGAAGCCAGGCAAAAAGTGCTGAGTAAAGCAACTCTTGGCTGAGGAGATTGGGGTGGGGTGGGGGTGTCTCCAGAGTTTTCCTCTGCCCCAGGAAGGGCCAGGGCCAGATGCTCCCTATCGGAGTAGCTTTTCTCCCAGCACCCGGCTCTGGCTTCGGCCAGGAGGTGCCAGAGCAGGTAACAGAGTGTCTGCATGGAACACCCCAGTCATGGGGGCTCAACCAGCGCTTGAGGAATAAATGAATGAACAATTCAATGAACCAAAGGATGTAATAGGCAACCTGAGAACGTTTCTGTGAGCTGACGTATTCTGCGAAGTCTTCCTGGGGAGGGGAGAAGGGAGCAACCAAATACTATATATTCTGTTCAATAACACCTTATGTCATCTCATTTCATCTCATGGCCACCCCCAAGGGAGCACTATTCCCATCCTCACTTAGCAGCTGAGAAAGCAGACTCAGAGGTCCAGGAGTTGCCTGAGCTTCCTCAGCCAGAAAGCGGCAGAGACCTAGTGTGGCAAGGAGCCGAAAGTTGATTTAAGAAAAACAAAACAATATATGTCTTGTCTATTTGAGTTTGTGGATGAAGATCCACAGCTGATTCAATAACGTAAAAAATACTGTTACTGTGTTTCAAATGGATTGTGAGGCTCCACTATGTCTCTCTCTGTACACCTAGCGGTAGCAAATTCAAAAGTATTGGACTTAAAAACCTGTTCTTTTATTCTACCCCTTCTCTCACTACCTCTCACCAAAGGCTGTAGGGGAAAATGTCTTTCAGGAGGGTCAAGGATATAAGTCCTCACTCACTGGCCCACCCATTCCACTCCCTGCCATTTTCCAGAGAGATAACTGGAAGATCTATACTCAAGGCCCTGGAGAGCTTCCAACCCCACCAAACATCTTCTATTTTGCCCCACAGGCGAGTGGGCCTGTAGCTGGCTTGGGGGGTCTTCCCTCTCGAACCAGCCATGCCTAGCGCTCTCTCTCTCTGAAGACCAGGATTCTCTGGCAGGTATATGAAAAGAGAGGAAGGTGGTCAGACCCAGGGAGAAATCTTACAGTTCACTCTCACTGACATTCAATTCTGGGCAATTTCTGTATCCTCACACACACAAAGTCCACTCTGGTATCAGAGCTGCCCCAGTGAGTTCCTAGAAAACGTTGTGCTTTGGAAGACTCTGGAAGCAGAGCCACGTGCTAGAAAGTTCACCTGCTCTCAGATATCAGACTGACTTCAAAGGAACTCCAGACGGCGGCCCTAAGCAAACCACACACTGCAAAACAATCCTGATTCCCAAAACAGATCACTTAGGGCAAGGGCCAGAAACTGGGATGTCAGGAGGACCCAACTGGGGCAAGTAAAAGAAGACACTGGCCCGGTGTAGGTAAGAGGAAAGGAAGAGCCAGTGTAAACGCAGCAGTCCCTGCACACCTCCTCCTGCCCATTTTGACCACGTGAGGATGCAGACCCCATGTGCAGTTGTTCAAGGGCAGCCAGGAATCGAATCTTTTTATGTGCTACCTGCTGATTTTGAACTGTTGGCTCAAGGTTCTTAGACATCCTATGGGCCTAACAAAAGTCTGTTGGCCCACCAGCTTATAATCTCTGAACTCGAGATGTGATTTCCCTTATGATAGAGTCTTTTTCACTCAGAGACCCGCTGGGGGATTTCTTTAAACAGAAAACACTCCTAGTACAAAAATAGAATGTGATTCACTCTAGCACAGGGTTTAAGCACAGAAGCAGCAGTAAGGGATGCTTCTCTTCACAAATTGCCTCACCTTGAGGTATTTCAAGAGACAGACCGCTTAATGCATTTCAAATCAGGTTAGCGTGGCAAAAATCTAATTTTCATACAACTTCTTGAAGGAAGATGGGAATTTGGTTCAGGTCTGGATCAGGATTAAAGAAGGGGCCTGGAAGCAGGAAGGTGAGGAGGGAGAGTGTGTTGGGGTAAAGGGCAGAGCTGGGGGCTCAGGCTGAGCGATGTGGAGAGAGGCTCGCAACTGTTCTGTGAGGTTGGTCAGACAGAGTGGTGGGGCCTGGGGACCAGAGCCAGCCAGAGAGGACAAGAGGAGGAGGGAGCATCATTAGTTGCCATGGTAACAAAAAAAATAAAGAAAGGGGGAGAGCGAGAGAGGGGGGAATCTCAGAGAAGAGCTATGTTGTGCTGCTGTCCATACCAGCTCCCTTGTCTCTACCCAGGCACTTTGTCTATGACTCTCTGGCCCCTCTGATACCTCCCCCACCTGACTCTGCTCATTCCTGGCATGCATAAATTACTGTGAAATTACTTCAAGGACGTTTAGATCCTAAACATGGGTGAGCTAGATGGGCACCTACTTACTGTTCCTCTAAGTCTCAAAAGACCTCTTGAATTCAAAAATATTTTCTCCACTGTTCTGCCATAAAGCCTATAATTCCACCATTAGGGCAAATTTTCTTAAACTAAAGATGTGTTCATGTTTAATTACGAAACGTCATTAAAAAGGGTAATATCTTGGATAGCAATTTCTAAAATCTCATAAGAAATTAGCTTACCACATGTAGCAAGGATCTCAGATTCAGCCTAGGAAAGTCCATGACTTGGGTTCAGGCATATCTGAACCTGTATGATGAGCTGATAGGGCAGACCCCAGACAGGCCACTTCACAGGACAGTTCCAGTGACATCTGCTGTGAGCCTAGAATTCATTTTCCCTTGATTTTCTTTTGGGGAACTCTTTGTTCATCAGTCCTTGTCCATGAGGTCCAGGTGCGCTGACTTCCAGTCAAGGGCGGACCCAAGACCTGGACCTGACCAATTGGAGCATTCCATCTCCTGGCCAGAACACTTGGCTCTTGTGTAGACACACAATCCAGGCCTGACCAATGAGTCTCAGAACTAGGACTTTTGCTGGAACTCTTGGGAAAGTAAACTCTCTTTCCATTGGGTATCCACTAAGTGGATAAACTCTATGTCCAGAGCTGCTGGTGGCCAT